TCGATGAAATTGACTCCTTTTAAGCTGCAGATTCTTTGTAGCCATGTGTTCAGCCCAAGCAAACGTGAAAACATATTAGTTCCCCTTGCTGGGAGTGGTCCACTGATGAACGACTGAACTTTGAGTCTTCGAAGTGTTTCAAAGAGTTCACTGAAATCCTTCTTAAGGAGTTCTGACTGCTCTTTCCAAATATCCTTCTTCCCCACATGGATGATGATTTGATTTGCAGACTTGTGCTTCATTAGAATGTTCCGAAGTTCCTTGTTCATATCAGAAACTGTTGCTTGAGGAAGGCAGCATGTTGCTGTATTTCTGCTACTGATGTTTCTAATAATTGAGTCGCCCACTATCAGAGTCCTGGGCTCGGCTGCGCTCTGAGCTGAATGCCGCTGTCTGCTCGACCTTGAGCGCCTGTTAGTAGCGATGTTAGCTGCTGGCTGATCCGATCCATGTTTAATCACATTTGGGGATTCCTCACCCTCATTCATTAATGCTTCAAATCTGTTCTCAAGATGTATAGGGGGTGGTAGAATACCAGTATTCACAAGCCTTGTCATAGCCGAATCTGGGGTAGAGGATGCTATCGCAGCAATATGAGATACTCGTGACAATCTGATGTCTCGAGTGCCCTTGGGTCTCACTCCCTGTTTGTGCCATCGATTAGTGTGACGATCAGTTTCATCTTGTTCCTCTACACTTGGTATAAACTGTTGAGATTCACTAGATTCATGGGACTCACCGGCTGTATGCTGAGGGGGTGGATGATGATGGTCTGCTGAGTAGAGGTGGAAAGTAAAGTACAAATATTTTCGTTACAGTACTTGAGTACATTTTTAGAGTTTTTCTACTTTCTTGAGTATAATTAAATTGTGGTACTTTTACTTGAGTAAAATAAAACTAAAGTATTCAACTTCGCTACATTTATTTTTCACCAAAAGTACAAAGTACAAAAAAAAAAATATATATATAGACAAAAGAGGAGCCGATAGAGAAACAGAGCGAGCCGGCGTTTGACCATCACTTTTCAAACTTCTGGGGTGGAGCCCTGCACTTCAGCCAATAACAGACAGGTCTGACTCCGGTAAAAAAACAATCAAAACTTCCAGTTCAGCTGGGGGGGCGGTCCGTTCAAACTGCGCTTTGCGTTGACTGTCAATCACCGGCGTTGTCGTTTTGAATCAGCTTAGCGTTTCAATATTTTAGTGAATGTGAGCTATGCTCTGATTTTAAATCGTAATTTTGTCAGCTCCTGAAATGGGTCATACCATTGATATTACCCAGAGCACACAGCAGTATAAGTTAATAGAAAACTCGGTTGATAGAATTATTGCATGGATGGAGCAAGAACAATATAAGTGTCTAAAATACATGCACACAGTTCAGTTGAATGGTAAAAATCACCCTCTTTAACAGTGCAGTTAAACTAAATGTACAGTGGGTACGGAAAGTATTCAGACCCCCTTAAATTTTTCACTCTTTGTTATATTGCAGCCATTTGCTAAACCGTTGATATTACACAGCAGTATAAGTAAATAGAAACTCGGTTGATAGAAGGATGCAGTTATTGCATGGATGGAGCGAAAACAATGTAATGCCCGGTTCAGACCACACGATTTTAGCCCGATTTTGCCACAATTTGCTTGACGTAGGGTGTCGTGGGGATTCGTAAACAACAATGGGCGTCGGGACGCAAGATTCCATCGTTTCAGCACGTGTAGTGTGTCATAGTGGACGACAACCGATTCCACGTCTGCGATGCTTCACGACATCACGACAGAAAGACTAGCATGTTTAATGTTTTTTCCATCGTCCACGACGAGTTCTGTTACATTGGAGACATTGACCAATAGCAGCACAGAAGCTCTTTCATACACAGGTTTCAAACATGGCAAAACGAAAGAGAGATGATGGTGCTGCTAGGTGGAATTATGAGATGGAGGAAAGGTTCATGGAGCTGTGGCAACAGTACTCCTGCCTGTATGATATGTCATCAAAGGACTACCACGACAGAACAAAGAAAGAAAAATGCTGGTGAACTATAGTGGAAGCGCTTCAGCAATGTTTACACTCTTGTTTTCGGAAGTCAGTCGCTAGTCCCGCCTTCTCGATGACATCACGCGCGTCGTAAAAGAAGGCACGAGATGAATGGTCGGGAAGCAATGTGTAGTCCCCTCTTTAACAGTGCAGTTAAACTAAATGTACAAAGCTAAAATAACCCCAACATGGCTGATAGATCAACTATGATTTATCTGTCAATCAGATGCATTTAAAATCACTTTTTCTTATTTATTCATATCCAAAACGAGACGATGTGAACATCACGGAGTGCTAAACACTCTCATGCAGAGCATTATTCATTCATACTCGAAGCAGGAGGGCACTCTCGCGCAGAAAGTCCACACGGCCCAGTAGAATTAATATGTGACCCTGGACCACAAAACCAGTCATAAGAGTCAATTTTTTAAAATTGAGATTTATACATCATCTGAAAGCTGAATAAATAAGCTTTCCATTTATGTATGGTTTGTTAGGATAGGACAATATTTGACCGAGATACAATTTTTTTTTTTTTTGGCTATTGCTAAAAATATACCCAAGCGACTTTAGACAGATTTTGTGGTCCAGGGTCACATATATAATAACTTATGACGTGCAGGAAATCTCTAATATGGACAAAGGCGTCCAGCTATGGCTGTAGCTAAAAAAAGGTAATTTTAGGTCCTTTCCATTTAATGCAGTGCTAATTGACATAACATTTCTTACAATAAAGAAACTATTCTGCCTTTTGATGTGTTGAAAAAATATTATAGAATACAAATGATTGGTTATCGTCCAGCAGTGTATTTGATTTCTTAGCCAATTTAAAGACATAAGAAACAATAATGCCAGTCAATTAGACAAAAGTCACAAGTTGTTCTTTTTTTTTTTTTTTTTTTTTTTTTACATTCTAGCAGACATTATATACCAACAAAGCACTTTCTGAAATGATGGCTATGCCCCTATGTGTGCAGTACAGAAAAAAGAGCACAAGTCTTCTTGTGCTTGAATGGTTTAAAGACATATTAAAATGCGCACAAAGGAATCGATAAGAGGAATTGAAATTTTAATTTTATAACAAGTAGACGGTTTCTGACCTTAAGCATCCTATTCCAGAATTGGAATAGATTTTGGATTCCCAAGCCTAGGTATGGGGTTATCATTTTAAATAAAATGCTCTTTTTTTTGTCCTACCGAAAATGTGCCTGGAGTCCACCTTTGTTATTATAACAAACTACACTTTCAATGTGATTTTAAACCATTCAAGTCAAGAAGACTCGCGGGCTGTTTTCTCTGCTACACACACATCCTTGAGTAAGTGTTCTTTAGCCTGTTGACTTTCATTCATAGTATTCAGCTAACTATGAAATATTTTGCGATATGATTATATCTAAGATTTATTTATTTATTTATTTATTATTTTACCTTATTGGAATCGAAATGAGGAATTTACAAGAATTGGAATCATTAAAATTAAAACGATGCCCAACCTTACCCATACCCCACATTATTTTTTACTGGCACCTTTCTATTCACACTGTTTAAGACCCTTTATTTTATTTTAAACCTTCACTTACCCTTCTTTGCTTTTGCCCTTCTTAAAACCAACCACATAATCTTATATGTGAATGTACTTTTCAAAATTAGTTATAAAACAGTTGCACCTGGCAACAGGGATAGGTATGTTTGCTTAACATAGCGTCAAACATGACTATTTATGAGACTAGTATCATGTTTTGCTCCAAAATCACTATATAATATCAGTCATGTTTGAAACAGTTAGCTTCTGTGGTTCCATGTTGCTTCTTATCACAGTGAGACCGAAAATATTTTATATAAAATTCTATACTGTGATACAAGCTATGTCAATTTGCATTGCATTGCAATTGGGTGTTTATTGTCTTCCACGTTTCATCAGTCAAAGCATCTCTATCTGCATGTTATTCAGCTGTAGTGATATCTGATGCATTTGTCCTTATAATGTATTTCCTGGGTCTCACTTGTGAAACAGACATTACAGTACATGAGTGTTATAGGGTTAATCCTGCTCCCTAATGCTCACATCGTCTCATTTTGGGTAAAAATAAAAAAAAAAGAATAATACTAAAGTACTTTGTAACACAGTAACTTGAGTAGTTTTTGAGCAAACTACTTTTTTACTCTTACTTGAGTCATATTATTTTTCAGTACTTTTACTTGTACTCAAATAAATTATTCGTTAAGTAGCAATACTTTTACTTAAGTACAATTTCTTAGTACTCTTTCCACCACTACTGCTGAGTGTTCTGCCTGTTTTGGAAGTCCAGCAAGTAACTTTGTTTCAAGAACCGCAATCCTTTGTAGAAGTTTGCAGTAGTTCATGCAGCAAGTAGATTCAACAGGAGACATTTTCCCTCTCGACTGTTTGAATGTAGACAGCTGTGTTTTCCCGTCTCCGGAATGTAAACTGCTGGCAGTGGGAGGCAAAAGTCCCCTTTTTTGTAGTATTATTCCAGTCCCAAAGAGTTTTTAGTTTTAGTGTTTGTGCCAAAAATGTGTTGTTTGAGCACTGTGCTGATTTGCTGAAGTAAAAAAGAAAAGTACAGAAATAGGGAGCAAAGCGCAGAGCAGTAAGCAAGAACGTCCGAACGGTAGCAAAGCCGGAAGCACCGGCTTCACTGGCTACACTGTATTCAATAATGTTTAAGCAACATGTATGTGTTTTTGAGAAAATAAGGTGTACACTCTTAAAAAGAAACATTTTTTGGGGCAGTTTACACCTGTTCGCTTCATGCGTTTTGTCTGATCGGATAGCTATCCGATCGTGAAAAGACGAGGTGTAAATGCCCTCCGAAACGTATTCGAGACGGATATAAATCCGATCGCTCAAACCACTTCAGGAGGTGGTCTGGGCCGCATTCCAGACGAAACTAGACAAGTGTAAATGCATCTGGTTGTTGTAACCACATATGTAAATTTTACTCCTCCCAAAATGTTAAAATAATAAACGTGTGAGAGCGTGTTAAAGGCTATATAACATTATAGTCAGATATGACTGCGCTAATGCAACACGCAATGTGTTGCATTAGTAACACATTATTAGGACAAGTAGTTGAGTACAGCAAGCCGACGTGCAAACTGCCGCAAATGAAACAAAGTAAGACGCAGATGGTCAACACACAATCATCTTCATTAAAAGTAGTCAGACCAACTTATTTTTCCAGTGCTGATGCCGCGCGCTCTCCTATTGCGGTCTTTGATCTTGAAATGGGCTGTTAATAAAATGCAGCGCTTATCTTTTGATTTCGTTGACGTGAACTCCGTTAAATTTAAATATAGTGCGGGAACTGAAGATCGGATTTAAATCCATTTTGCGACGACACATTAATGTGGCCAAGTGTAAATGGAAACGTTTGAACAAATCAGATAGATATCCGATCAGCGAAAACGCATGAAATGACCAGGTGTAAACAGGCCCTTTGTCTAAATGGTTCCATAAAGAACCTTTAACATCTGAAGAACCTTTCTATTTCACAAAAGGTTCTTTGTGGCAAAAGAAGGTTCTTCAGATTATACAAAGGTAAGAAAGAGATGGTTATTTAAATGAAATGACTGTATTGGTCTAAATACTCCACCAAGCTACTGTTACTGTATAAGCATGAGCCCACCTGAGTGGTCGTGGTGGCGGTGTTGCAACAATTTTTAGAGAGATTCTTAAAGTTACTCAGAAATCAGCACACATGTTTAATTAATTTGAAGGACTTGTGCTTAATGTTACACTTTCAGACACGAGAAAGAAATCCCTGCTATCTCATGCTCTGGCTACCATGTATAAACTGCCAGGGCCCTACGATGCTTTTTTAAAAGAATTTGCAGATCTTCAAATGGAAGAAAAATGACTCATTTAGAGGTCTTCCGAATCGCATGGAAAGAACAGTATGTCCAGCTATAGACAGGCTCTAAAAGCTGCGAGGGCCGAGCATATCCACAAACTCAGAAAATAACCAACATTATACAAGGTTTTTATTTAGCACAGTGGCTAGATTAACAAATAATCAGACCCTAAATGAATATTCCTTCACCGTTTAGTAGTAATGACTTTATGATTTTCTTCACTGTGAAAATCAATAGCATCAGAAATATAATTATAATTGTAGAACCTCTGACAGTCTTTTGAATCAGCCGCTTTTAAAGATAAACTGCAGCGCTTTACAACTATATGACATGAAGAGCTAAATAAACGTATCACTGCATTCAAACCAACAACATGTTCATTGGATCCTGTACCCACTTTAGTAAAAGAGCAATTTACTGCAACCTGTAGCTGAAGAGCCTCTTCTCAATATTATCAGGTTTCAGGCCCCATCATAGCACATAAACTGCACTTAAAATGACAAATGACTTGCTTCTAGCATCAGACCAAGGCTGCATCTCATTGCTAGTTTTATTTGATCTTACTACTGCGTTCAACACTATAGATCATGACATACTCATAGATCGATTATACAATTCTACTGGTATTCAGGGACAGGCTTTCAGATGGTTTAAATAACTGCCTTAATCATGTCCATTGTTTCTATTTGAATGTCATTTACTAACTGCATGATTTGTATTATCCAACAACTGTACATTTCTACCATATGGACATCACTTTGACATAGTCATCTGTGATTGTAATGTAGAAACATGCATCTCCTGTAAAGTTGCTTTGAAATGGTATGTATTGTGAAAAGTGCTATACAAATTAACATGAATTGAATTGAATATAAACTCAAGAACAAATGGCCATTGACAGTTACTTCATTTCAATTGACTGTACTGAAGGAAATAGCAATAGCATTTGCTTTGCTAATGGAAACAGCACATGTTGCTAACGCACTGTAGTATTGAATGGTTAGACTCTGAAAACAGCAAAGAGAACCCAGCAAGAGTGATCCTATTTGTACTTTGTTTCTTATTTCAGTTGAATGCAACTCTGCAATATTTCCTGTAACGTTACTTTTTCATTTTTGTATTCTCTCTCAGAAAATGAGGACTCTACAGTGAGAATAAATAAGAAGATAATTGCAGATTGTGGGTGCATTCATTCACTTGATGTGGGACCCCTGACAATGATTTCGGACGGGTGTTTGGCCGATTTGATATCCGTTACACATTACAGTTTTTTTTCTTTATTTTTATTAGTATCATTATTTGTCATTTTTCTGTATTCTTTAACCTACTATTTGAAGTATTCAGTTGCTTACCAGAATTTGTATGTTTCACTGCTCTTAGTATCCTGTATATAACAAACAAACACACATAAACACACACACACAAACCCTTTAATCTTAAATATTGT